GTTGTAGATTACAGGATAATTTTTTTCTGAAACCAAATTGTTTATTAGAGAGTAGGATGTTTGTTTCTAGGTGGAGGGTAATGGATTGGTTAATGATTGATTCCATGATTTTGCAGGTGATGCAGCATAAAGAGATTGGTCTGTAATTTTCAACTAGGCTGGGGTCTCCTTTTTTGAAGATAGGGATGACCGTGGCTAGTGACCATAGGTTGGGTAGGGAGCTGGTCCTGAAGGATTTTTCAAAGATTATGCTTCAGGGTTCTGCTAAAGCAGTGGAAAGCTTTTTTAAGAAATATGCACATAGTCCATCAGGTCCGATAGATAGAGATGGTTTTAGTCTGTGTAGTGCCTTTTCAACATTATCTTCTGTGAAATCTATTTGTGTTAGATTGTTGTAATTATTAGTGGTACGACTAGGGAATGTTGGGCATGAGCCATTGCTGTTTACAAAGACTTAGCCAAAGAATGTGTTGAAGAGGTTTGCTTTAACTGCTTCATCATTGCATTCTTTACCGTTAGGTCCTTTTAGGGGTGGGATGGATCTCGAGTCTTTAAGTTTGTTGTTTACAAAATTATAGAAGGCACGGTTGGATCTCATGCACAGGAGGTTCTCTTCTTGTTTAGTGTGGTAATTGGTGCTTTCAGTCTTTATTTGGTGGCATATATTTTTGTAGCGGCTTTTAAAGTTAATTTTAAAGTTAATGAAGACTCTGAAGGTGCTCAGGGACCAGATGGCAAACTACCCTATATCTATCTTCTTCAAGTCCATTATGGGGGAAAAATCATATAAATGCAGGAATAATTTTCCAACAAACAGAAATTCTCTATTCAAGAACATTCTGGTGGCACACTATGCTAAGATGGTCAGAATTAGATCAAAGAAATTCTAAGAAATCAGCAAGCAGATAAACTCTAGAAATAGATGCAAGTACCAAGGCATATACCAAAGAGGTAGAGGATCAGCAGCTACAACTAGCAGATATAATTTGGATTGCACATTCAGCTGAACAATTGAGGTACTTCATTTCATGGAAATGTCCAACAAATGCAGCATCATTTTGTCAGCTCCTGAGCACAGTGTTCTAAAATAAAAAAAAGAACTGGCGACACACTTTCAGTAGAAAACTGTTCTCTCTATGCAGCATACGTATGTTGGATTATGCATGAAAACAATTTGAATGTTTTAGAAAAAAAGATGATATTATCTACCAAAATTAAATGTATTAATTACAAAAATAATGAACATTATTTTTATAACGTAAATTGCAAAATACAATGCACCAACATTTTTTGATAAAAATTATCTTGTCCTACATTTCTCTCCAGCTAATAAAATGCATTTGCTCTGAAGTTTTTTATTTATTTATCCAACTTCTATAGTTGCCCATCTCAGCCAAATGACTCTGGGCAGCTTACAATTCTTATGTTTAAAACACTCTCCCAATTTGCAAGATGTGTGTGTCTGTGTGTGCGCGCGCACACACACGCATATGGTTAATTTAATATTTATTTATTTGTTTATTTATTTATTTTGTTTGTTAACCATCTCGCACAAGAGTAAAAACAATAAAGCCATATAGACTCCCATATATCTAACTGAAAAAAAATATACAAATTTCAAATTATGACTAAAATTTGTGGAGAGAAGGCGTACAATGAGCAGGTGGGAGTGGAATCAGCTATTGGTCCATCAACCACCTCCAATGTGATGCATTAATATGTGTTAATTATGTCAATTATAATAACCACTCAGAGTACTTAACCAGAGTAGACAGGAAGGTTACAATTCAAAGAAATGAAGCACACACAGTCACACACATAAACACAATTCAAATGATTCCCACTGTATTAGCATTTTGAGAAGCCCTAAAGAGTAGGCTCTTTGCCCATGCCACTAGCAATACAACCAATGCCCTTTTCTTCCTTTTTGTTACCCTCCAAGTTTGAAAGTTGGACCACAAGGAAGGCTGAGCGCCAAAGAATTGAGGCCTTTGAACTATGGTGGTGGAGAAGACTCCTGCGAGTCCCTTGGACTGCAAGGCAATCAAACCGGTCAGTCCTAGAGGAGATCAACCCTGACTGCTCTTTAGAAGGCCAGATCCCAAAGATGAAACTCAAATACTTTGGCCACCTAATGAGAAGGAAGGACTCACTGGAGAAGTGCCTAATGCTGGGAAAGATTGAGGGCAAAAGAAGAAGGGGACACAGAGAATGAGGTGGCTGGATGGAATCACTGAAGCAGTAGGCATGATGTTAAATGGATTCCAGAGGATGGTAGAGGACAGGAAGGCCTGAAGGAATGTTGTCCATGGGGTCGCGATGCGTCAGACACAACTTCACAACTAACAACAAGAAGTTTGGTTTTTTTTCTTGTGCTGTTTTTGTGGGTTTTTTTTACTTGTTTCTCATTCTTTACTTTTTTTAATCAATTATAAACTTTCCAGAGTTGTTGGGAGTGTGGGGGAGGCCATATAAATGTAATAATGGTTATAGTTGGTTACACAGCCAGATATTTAGATTGTGCTGTCCAAGATTTTTTGGTATGACATCCAATGTACATCTAACAAACAAGCCTTCAGTTTCTTTTTTTTTTTTAATGTTCGAGCTGTAAGTCATTGCCAGTTTTTATCTTTATCCACGTTCCCCTCAATCTTTTGTAAAAATTGACCATGTAATGCTTTTCCTTCATAGTTATATCATATCATATCATATCATTATATTATATTATATTTTATCATATATTATATCATATCATATATCATATCATATTATATTATTATATTTTTGATAGCCACTTTTCCTGTACATTTACCAAGTTCCAATTTTGAATTTGTATCAATGCTTGTTCTGGACTGTTTTTTACAAAATCAGCCAATGCACACTTTTCTTCTTCAACAATTTGTTTGACTTGAAGTAAACCTCTGCTTTTCCAATTCTGCAGGACAAGTATAATCTATCAATATCACCATAGGGATGTTATGTATATTGAATTGTCATCAGTGTTCTTGTTTTTTTGGTCCAAACTGTCCGGTTTAGCTTGTGCCCCATTAATAATTCTAGCAGTTTAGTGTATCACAGGTATGGCCCAGTTATTGATGACTTTGATGGTGGTTCCACCATTCAATTTTGTCTTTAGCAATTTTCTTGCTCTTTAGATGTATTCTTTAGTAATCACATTTTTAGCTTGTCCATGTTTGATGTTATTCAACTATAAAATGCCCAAGCCAACTTTTTGGGCACTAGGGACCAGTTCCATGGAAAAAAGCATGGGGCATCACACATGTCCTGATACATTACACAAACCATGTATTTAGATGTCATTTGCGTAATGATACATGATATTATAATAAACTTGTGTCATTTGTGAGATGACATGATGTGTGTGGCATCTTTGGGGATTCTAGTGGGTGCCTATTTATTTAACTCTTGTAAACCTACTAGCCTTAACTAGACTGTAAAATACACCAAAATAAGGGGGAAATGTCAAAATTAAAAGTAATGTTCATCTTTATATTTCTGATAAAGTATAGCATGAAAATATAAGCAATCACTTTTTTTCTTTCTGCTCCCCTGCTGGAAAATTAATGTTTTCTTTGCTCTCAGACATACATTAATAGATTACTAGGGGACCCCCCCCCCAAAAAAAACAAGGTAGCAACAGAGTACTAAGCATGAGTTCTTAAATTCCATCCTCTCACTGACAGTAGGCAGAACCCATATTTTCTTTGTGTAGAATCTATGGATCATATTAACAGGATGCAGCCCATTTTCAAACTTGATCTTTCTTTTGCTAGCTTCTCCCACCAAATTAGATTCCATCCTAATTTTGGAGAGTTTCAGAGAATTATCCTCCTGACAGATTCCCGAGCCATAATTTATTTCCAACTATCCAGTGGGTTGGAGAGTATAAAAAAGAACCACATAATATAAAATACATTAATTAAAAGATGACAAATTATAAATTATTATATATCTGAAATATAAATTAAACAGTTAAATGAATATTGTGCATCACAACTAACATGACAAATTTCAATCATAGAAGGCTGAACTGGGTTAATGTATCTAAAATTATTACTAGTTTAGAGGTTTTTAATAAAGAGGGCTTATTTAATATTTCTGAAATAATCATGGTTTGATTTTTTTTCACCATGGATTTGCTAGCATAATCAAGGAATCACCAATAAATCAAGCAAAATGTCCTTTGTGGATTCAGATGCTGTTTTTTTATCTAAACAAGTAAAACAAGTAAACAAGTTCATGATGGAATTACAAAATAATCTAGGGAAATAATCTGTGCTAACACATGAAAAGTTTGATTTTATAGATATTGGTTTTATTATTGTGAGCCAACCCAGAGTTGTGGGTTTGTTTGTTTGTTTTTAAATTTCTATGGTGTTAATCTCCCCTACAAGGTGATTCTGGGTGTTTATGATGGGTGGCAGGGACGGGTTTCAAACCCGTCACTACCGGTTTGCTCATGGTCATGGGCGCGCTCGCTTGTGTCGCTTCTGCGCATGCACAGAAGCATCCAGGTGGGTGGACGGAGCCTCCCACCGCCGCCACTACCAGTTTGCCCAATCAGTAGCAACCAGTAGCAACCCACCACTGATGGGAGGCAATAAACAGACTAAATACAAGCTAAATAGAAGGGAAAAAAAATACTTGAGCATACACTTAAAAGTAATGTGCTTTACCATACAGTCAAGGGAATAGTTGTTGCTCAGTAGTAGGTTATAAATGTTATCTGCTTTACAGAGAAAGTTGGAAAAGATTCTCCTCTGAAACTGAAGAGTCCCTCTGGGTTACCTAAGGATGGACAACTTCTGCCTTTCAAACCAGAAAATCTGGTCAGCCCAGCTAATAATGGAGGATGAAGGATGTACATGTGTAGTTAATATAACATGCGAATCATGGCTTTCAAGACAAAATAGCCTCCTTTCCTCTACATTAGAACAGAGAAGCAGAGCAGATGCCTTCTCTGCTGAGCAGTCACTTACCTCCACCATTCTTTTGGCACAAATATGGAAACCGCCACACATTCCCCAGGCCAACAGAGTAGCCTATTTGAGCCAAAATGTACTGTAGCTTGTTGTTCCATGCTGGCCTGTCATCATCTGCTTCTTCTCCAACCTGCTGTTTGTTCCAGTTTTCTGAAGCCACATTTAAGACACTGTTTCTGTAGTCCACAGGTTCCTCCAGAGCCAGTAGATCAGCCACTGATTCTGTGACAGGCTCATTGCTCTGTTCTCGCTGAGTTACTTTGCTGCTCTTAGGCATTGAGATGGTCTGGTGTAGCCCCTTATAGATTAAGTACAGATTTATTCCAAGGCCCGGTGGAGTAAAACTTTAAAAGGGCAAGTGCTGGCTTTGGGGATAACACGTCAGATCTGAGTCATTTGTGTGAGACCTGCAAAATAGTACAAAAAGGAAACCAAATTAAAATATGGTAGGGTGCATTACCACTTTCTCCACTGCTGACCCATCCGTGTGTGCTTCATCATTCTTCAATCACACAGTGCAGATGTGGACATTGGCTACAAGAGTCAATTGTCCATAAGTCTTAGTTTTCATTCTTAAAGAACAATTCCTAGTCCATAATGCTTGAAAAGATTTTTATTTATTTTTTTTGCTTTAATTTATATGCCGCCCTTCTCCGGAGACTCAGGGCGGCTTACAATGCGTTAAGCAATAGCCTTCATACTTTTGTATATTTATACAAAGTCAGCTTATTGCCCCCATAATCTGGGTCCTCATTTCACCTACCTTAGAAAGGATGGAAGGCTGAGTCAACCTTGAGCCTGGTGAGATTCGAACTTGCAGTAATTGCAAGCAGCAGTTCTTAATAACAGTGCTTAGTCCACTGTACTACAGGCAATTCTTGGTGGAACCATAAAAGATAGGGCTGGAGAGGGTATACAGGAGACATAGAATTTTTTGATAGAAGCCATTCCATTATATACAATATGCTAATGTATTTTCACAATAAGGACAGGTAGTAGCTTTTCTTGGTACGGTTATTGGGATAATTGGTTATTCCAATAGCGGTATCAAGTATTTTATTAATTTTTGAGAACATTCACTGTCTTGGGCATATTAAGTAAAAAGAGTATGAAAATTTCATTTCATTTCAAGCCCAAAGAAAGATCGTGCACCTGTTTTTCATTATTTCCAAGAAAACCTTGGATAGTTGTTTCAGTTTCTTACTGGTTTAGTACTGAAATTCAGTACGTGTGGGCTGGTGGGTGGGTTACAAAAAATAGGGTTTGAGGTCATACATGATCCAGTTCCCCCTCTCAGCTATAAAGCAACTTCATAACCATCCACTCTTTATTTTGATGCCTCCTTTTCCAATCAATGAAAATCTGAGGATTTACAGTAGTTTTTAATCTAACGTTTTTTTCCCCAAGTGCGTGCAATGCCAACAATGTGTCAGAAGCTATTTAGGTTAAAATACTGCAGCAGTAAAGAGCAGACCAAGCTTTGGCAGTTCTCGCGTAAGAGCAGCCAACATTAAAGTTATCTTTTTGTTGCTGACATTATCAGAGTAACTAGAATGGCCAGAAATCTTCTGTTAAACTGCCCGTGACGCTTGTACTACAGATAATATCTGTGAAGTGTTTGGCATTGCATGTGAAGCCATTGATTACTTGGCTCTGCCATTCAAGAACTATCATCTCTCAATAGAAAACCCTCCCCCAACTGAATAGAGCACAGAACTCTGCCTTTCAATGTATGCACAGAGTTCCTGATTCTGAACTATTTCAAAACGAATGCAGTTTCATTTCCCTGAAAACATATTTTAAAATGAGATTTTTAAAAAGCTGTTTTCACTAGCACTTTCCTGCTTGCGTATAGTTTGGAGCAACTGAGGCTGTTCCTCAATATAACATTCACTTTATTCTATAAAATCATAACCAGTAGGTCCCCATGAGTGTCAGTGGGCCCACCATCAGCCTCTTTGGTGCCCACAAGGCTTTCTGCTCCATCTGATATTCTACATATATATTTTTAAAACTATTTTTAAAATACAAAATTAACATTTCATATATAAACCCAAGAGGCATTGTTAGGAGTCTAGCTAGGGAATGATAAGGAGGAACCTACTACAGGTAGTCCTCAACTCATGACCACATTTGAGCCCAAGATTTCTGTTGCTAAGCGAGACATTTGTTAAGTGAATTTTGCCCCATTTAACAAACTTTCTTGCCACAGTTGTTAAGTGAATCACTGCAGTAGTTAAATTAATAACAGGGTTGTTAAGTGAATCTGGCTCCCCCATTGACTTTCCTCGTCAGAAGGTCACGAAAGGGGGATCATGTGACCCCTGGGAAACTGCGACGGTCATAAATATGAGTCAGTTGTCAAGTGTCTGAATTTTGATCACATGATGCTGGAAATGCTGTAGCAGTCATAAGTATGAAAAATTGTCATAAGTCACTTTTTTCAGTGCCATTGTAACTCTGAATGGTCACTAAGTGAACTGTTGTAAGTCGAGGACTCCATGTAGTTAGCCTTCTAATAGACAGATATTTTGTCAGTGCCCACACTTACCTTTTTGTGAGAGTCCCCACAACCTGCTTTCAAAATTTCAAATGTATCCATCAAAGAAAAAATATGGTGCTTCTAATATAGGATAGGCAATTCAGAGAATCCAGGAATTGAATGAAAGTTTTGCATCTGAGAGAAATAGGAATGGATCTATGGAATGAACTGAACTTATTCCCATAGAAGCCCTGTGTTTTGGTTTTAATAAATCAGTCTTAATTTATTTCACCAGCTTCTCACCAAAAAGAACAACTAATATACACCATCTTCAATCAAAATCCAAGCAAATGTACTCAAAATATATGTGAAAAAGAGACCTATCCAGGATCAGAGAACTGAAAAACTATTGATTAGATTCCTTGTCCTCCTTAATGAAGAATTGCAGGAAAACAGAATACAAACAGGATTCCATGTTTAGTTGAAGTTACATCTGATTTTTAGCAAGTTTATTGGCCATATTTTGTAATAATTAAATGAACTTGATATTGATCACTGCAAGATCAAGGTAATGAAGACTAAAGCCTGTTTTACACTAATTTAACTGATTCTTCAGTGTTACATATGAATGAATTAAAGAATTAAAGAAACAATCTAATTTCCTTATAGTTTTGAATAATCTTTGGTGCTGCTATGGTACTATATTATGGCAATTATTGTGATATTAATTAAAACATTTTCATGAAATAGGACCTACTATAATATTCACTGCATATTTTTTCACCTTTTTAAAATATTCTGTGGTCTGAAAGACTTCATAATCTATTATAAAACCTGTAGAAACTTTACCAGTAATGCAAAAGACTGTTGAACATATTAACGTATATCTCATCTTTTACAAGTACATCAGGTTATTTCTTTTTAAATAATAGGAACATAGACAAGTTGCTTAACCTGGTTGCCTAATCTGTGGTTATATGCAGTTCTAGGCTGCACAAACAGAGGGATAGAAATTAGAATCAAGATCACTTAAAGTGTTAATACCACTTTATAATGCCTTGGTAAGGCCACACTTGGAATACTGCATTCAGTTTTGGTCGCCACGATGTAAAAAAGATGTGGAGACTCTAGAAAGAGTGCAGAGAAGAGCAACAAAGATGATTAGGGGACTGGAGGCTAAAACATATAAAGAATGGTTGCTGGAACTGGGTATGTCTAGTCTGATGAAAAGAAGGACTAGGGGTAACATGATAGCAGTTTTCCAATATCTTAGGGGCTGCCACAAAGAAGAGGAAGCCAAGCTATTCTCAAAAGCACCTGAGGATAGGACAAGAAGTAATGAATGGAAACTAATCAAGGAGAGAAGCAACTTAGAAGAAGAAATTTCCTGGCAGTTAGAACAATTAATCAGTGGAACAACTTGCCTCCAGAAGTTGTGAATGCTCCAACACTGGAAGTTTTTAAGAAGAGATTGGTGGATTTCAGCACGTTCTGACCAGAACCGGATGCAGAAATTTTGAGTAGTTCAGAGAACCAGTAGTAAAAATTCTGACTGGCCCCATCCCCATCTATTCTCTGCCTCCCAAGTCCCAGCTGATCGGGAGGAAATGGGGATTTTGCAGTAACCTTCTCCTGGAGTGGGGTGAGAATGGAGATTTTACAGTATCCTTCCCATGCCACGCCCACCAAGCCATGTCACACCCACCAAGCCACACCCACAGAACTGGTAGTAAAAACTTTTGAAACCCACCATTGGTGCTCCAGCTTAATTTATTATACAATAGATCCTGCTCATTCTAATGGCTTGGCCGTTAGATAAAGTTTTAACATTATTAAGGATACAAAGCTGGTAACCAAGATTTTCTTGACCTTAGTAAACCGAAAAGTAATCTTGCATTAGTTAGGTTATTTGAGCACATACGAAAAGATGGATTTTCATGATGGAATTCCAATTAAACTAATCTTAAACAGGAAGAAAAAGTATGCTCTTCTTGTGGATTTATTTTCCTTTAATAATTTAGCTGCAATAGCAGTGACAGTAATGATCCAGTTTACTGTTTTCCCTGTAATGTGTTTTTTGTGCTTTGCAGATGGGAAGGTGACTGTTCAGTTGTTCCTAACACTGTGAAATAAGAAAAGGGAAACTGCTATTATTTATGCCAAAATATTCTTCTCATTGAGTGTGTGACATGGAAGCATCAATACTGTGTAACATTTTAAATCAATATCAGCATTCAGCAATAAGAGGAGAGAATTTTCTATCTGTTTCCTGGGATTAATGTTCCTAAATATCATAGCTATGGAGAGTTCTTAATTCTTTAGTTGTTCTTGTTCTGCTTTAGAGACTGCATGGCTTAAATATTACATCACACTAAGCAAAAGCTGTGCACCCCTGTAATGAATGCCACAAGCACTGAGAGAATCTAAACCTTTACCAAATTAAATTCTAGTGCACATTTTAATTTAATTTGGGGAAATTACTGCAATTGATTATATGTATCAGTCCCAGGTACTACTGATACAGCAAGTTCAAAGAATTGTTAATGTATCTTAGCAACCAGCGGCCTAAAATAGCATGGACCTGGATGCGAAAATGTGAGTTCTCAAAAGGAATGAAATAATGAGGTGACGAAGCAAAACAGCTAAATATTTTATTGCTAAGCTTTTTTATTCCCTTGTGAGGCCACAGAAATCCACTGGCACTTCACTTCTGGAAGTCATTGTTATTTGAGCTGGTTTTCACAAATACAACCAATCAAAATTGGTTATAGACTTATGCACAAAATTGCTAGACTTATTTGTCCCTTTTCTTTTAATAGATTCTTATATTTTTTTAATAACTCACATAAACCTATGAAACAATCTCAGACTATGCATTTGAAGATTTTGATCTGATTTTTGAAAATTCTGTACAAATATGTTCAC